ATAGCTGTCCTTATCGATTAATAAGAGAGCGTATCCAGAATGCCATTGAAATTTATGGCCTGAGAGGGAAAGCAGAGGTTTATTATATTGTGAGGAACTTTGCGGGTGCGTTGAAATCAGAGTTAGAGATGATGATCCGCACGGGATTACAGCGCGATCATCAGACACCCGAGTTCGTAGTACAGCATCTTTGGGAATATCTCGATAAGAGGTTTAAAAATTCATTGACGACTTCGGAGATGGTACAGAGATGGGAATCGTTGAAGCAGCAGGATGCGGAGCGAGTTGAAAGTTTCTTCGCTCGTGTGGAGATGGAAAGTGTGTTAGTAGTGGCGATGACTGGGAGGGCCCATAGTGATTTAGATAAGTGTATCCGTGCCAGAGCCGGCATGCATACTCGAATATTAGATTCATTGGAGAGTATGGGGCCCAACGTTGAGTCATTATCTTTCGAGGATTTGCGACGTAGTGCCATTTATTTCGAGAGCAGGCAAATGCGTAGGATGGCTGGGAAGGAGAAGCGGAAGGACCCGATTATCTCGAAGCAGGGAGTATCGTCTGTTTCACGAGGAGAAAATTCTAAGAGCGGTTCGAATCCAGCGCGATTTAATGGTATTTGCAGTCGATGTCAACAACCGGGTCATACGTGGAAGTTTTGTCAAGCTGCACGGCCAGCTGGTATGAACCGTCGTTGTGGCATTTGTGGCTTGGGGCATCTAACGAAGAATTGCCGATTAGGCGCTAGAGCTGCAACGTGTAAACGCTGCGGCAAGAGTGGGCATCTCCAGTATGTCTGCCCGAATCCTCTTCCATCAGGTCAGGTCACACGAACGATTGGGAAGGCAGTGGAGAATAATTCATCGTCGAAGCAATCAACTCCAGCTTTTCTGGTGGAAATCGGCTGCCAGGATAAGGCATCTACTCCGGTTATTAGTGCTGAATCTCAGTCGGGAATCGACGGTGCTGTCTGTTCTGTGACTCCATTTTGTGCTGCGGACCTTAGTTGTGTTGATCGGAATATATCGGGAACTCCTGAGAAAGTGGTGGTGGAGAGGGACGCATTGTCCCTTTCACTGTTATCTAATCCCGATACGGTTCGAATTTCAATTGCAGGGGAATACTACGAAGCCCTTGTGGATACAGGGGCAGCTGTAGCGATGGTCCGAGCCTCAGAAGCGGATCGACTATCGATTAAATGCCCTAAAGATGTGAAAATAGTGACCGTCAAGCCTATAGTTGTGACCTGTGCCAATGGTACTGCTCGAATAGTGCGAAGAGAATGTGTTCTCCGCTGTTATGTTGGAGAGTCTCGGTCTGAAGTACTGCTACCGTTATTGATGGTGAATAAATTGTCACATCCCGTAATTCTGGGTCGCGCAGCGTTGAGAATTTTGGGAGCGAGATTGATATATACTGACGGGGAAAATACTGCTGCTTCATTGCGTGACCAACTTCGGGAGTTCTTGAGTGGTGATGGAGATTCTTCCGTAAATACGATAGCAGCGGTCGAAATATCTGCAGCTCCTGTGATAGAACTTGCCCAAGTAGAGGCTACGCTCCAGGAAGATGAGTATCGAGTGAATCCACTGGAGCGAGGAGACGCTGCTGGTGAGTTTAATGAGCCGTTTAGGGATTTCTCGAAAATAACTTCAAGGGATCCATTTGAGGCTGAAATCAGTAAAGCTTTGGATGGGCTACCATTGAATGAGAATTTTCTCGATGCAGCATTGCAGAGAATTTACGGTCATGGAGTGTTCGAAGTGCCCGATGCGCAGTCTTATCAGTTATCCTTGAAAAAGTTATGTGAGATTGTTGATCCTAATGGCCACGTGGTTAAGGATACTGATGATCAGCAATACCGCTTTTTGGTCGACTGGCCTCTCAATTCAACTCGACCAGACCAACAGCAGGGCAGAGGTAGTTGGCGTCCTGATAGTCTTATCCGTAAACTCTCTCCGGTGCAGAAGGAGAAGTGGGACGCAGAACTGCAGATGTACTTTGATCGTCAGTGGTGGTGTGAAGCTGGCCTACGTCCAGGTCAAGATCCAAAGGTAGAGTGGGCGACGTGTTTTCCAGTTTGCTC